AAACCTCTCAAAAAAAAAAAAAAGAAAGAAAGAAAAAAGAAAATTAGGCTGGGTGTATTGCATATGTGCCCCAAATCCCAAGGAGGATGAAGGGATTATGGTGTGGGCATCCCCACAGGGGGTGATTTCTCACTTTCCCTCTCTATCTGGCAAGTGTACATGGCCTATGGCAAAAACCCTTGAAACACACACACACACACACACACACACACACACACATCAGACCATAACAATGTGTGGGCTAGGATGTAGAAAAATCAAACATTCACACACTGATAGTGAGAATATAAAACAGAGCAATAACTTTGGGAAACACTCTGACAATTCCTCAAACAATTAGACACAGAGTTACCATCTAACTCATCAACTGGACTCCTTGGTATATATTCAAAGAAACTGAGATCCAGGTCCACACTAAAATATGTACATCGTTGTTTCTAGCAGCATTATGTAAAATAGGCCAAAGGTGAAGACAACCCAAATGTTCATCAACTGATGCATGGATAAACCCCATGTGGTATATCCAAACAATGAAATATCATTTAGCCATAAAAAAGGAATGAAGGGAACCAGCAGTTAGCGTCATGGCTATGTCACTGGACTCCCACGTAGTCGACGGCGGTTCGCGTCCCCGACCCGGTGGCTTAAAACTCATGCCGGGTACGTGTGCGTGCGTGCCCAAAATCCTGAGAGGAGAATGGAGGAGAAGGGATTGCGGCATGACCATCCCCCCTGGGGGGTGATTTCTCGCTTTCTGTCTCTATGTCTCTCTCTCTCTGTCTGTCTGGCGAGCGCACGCGCCCTAGAGCGAAAAACCTCTCAAAAAAAAAAAATAGAAAAAAGGAATGAAGCGCTGATACATGCCACAACATGGTAACATCTTTTTTTTTAAAGAGATTTATTTATTATTATTGTTAATATTATTTTTCACATGAGTTTTGCCAGAGAAAGACAGAGAGAGAGGGAGAGTGAGAAAGCAAGCCACCAGGTCCAGGACTCAAACCATGGCCAGCCATGTGGGAATTCCAACACCTTAACCACCATGCCACTTACTGGCACATAAAACCTTTTTTTTTTTTAATAATTATTTCCTTTATTTTATTTATCATTATTGTTATATATTTTTTGAGAGGTTTTTGCTATAGGGCACATGCGCTCTCCAGAAAAAGAGAGACAGAGGGACAGAAAGTGAGAAATCACCCCCCCCAGGGGAATGGCCATGTGGCAATCCCTTCTCCATTCTCCTCTCGGGATCTTGGGCATGCATGCACACGTGCCCGGCGTGAGTTTAAGCTACGGGTCTGGGACTCAAACCACGGCCGACTACATGAGAGTTCAGCGACATAGACATTACACTAACTGCTGGTTCCTCATTATTGTTATTTTTAATTTGACCACAGCAAGACAAAGAGAAAGAGAATGAAAGAAAGCCAGTGGGTCCAGGACTCAAACTGTGGTCAGCCATGTGGAAGTCCAGTGCCTTTAACCATAATGCCACCTGCTGGCACTGTTTTTTTTTTTTTTTTTTTCTTTGTTTTGTTTTTTAAAGAGGAAGATTTTTGCTATAGGGTGCGTACACTCACTAGAGAGACAGAAAGCAAGAATCCCCCCTGAGGGGGGAATGGCC